AATACCTATTTTTAATAGTGATCTTGTTGAGTCCTCGATAATGAACACACATCGTCAATGATCCATCTTTTTTCTTTACAAATAAAATTGGAGCTCCTGCTCGAGATTTGGAATCACATATGAAGTTTTTGGCCAAATTCTCTTCCATATACTCCTTGAGTTTAGCCAACTCATTTTGAGATAAATTATAGATTGGTCCAAATGGCGGTTGTGCTCCTTCTTGAAGGTCAATTGAGCAGTCATAGGAATGATGTTCTAGAAGAATATCCGCATTTTTTTTTTCAAATATATCTTAAAAATCTAGATATTGGCTTGGAATGCCACTTGAAGTCTTTCCACCAATAGAAACATGTGTGGCATAAATGACACAAGGTGATCCTTCTTTTGCAGCATGCAAGAAAGCACTTGCACCTACAAATATAGGTTTAATTATACTAGACTTATGACTTTCTTCTTGATTAACTACACTCTTACTTATATTTTTAAAAAAGTCAAGACTACGAGAAGTCTAATCTATTTTAGGATTTTATTTTTCTAACCATGATAAACCTAAAATGATTGGATTAGAAAGAGATCTAATAATATTAAATATTATAAAACTACTATGACCATTAGTTGCTATTTCTATAGGAAGGATTTCATGAGTAACATCTCTTGAAGACAACGGATGACCATCTATGACTTCTACATGAACAGATTTAGTTTTCTTAACTAAAAATATGCTATGTCTTTTAGCAAATTTTTTATCTAAGAAACATGCTAAGGCTCCTAAATCTAGTAAAGAAGAGGCTTTAAGATGTTTAGGTCCTAGAATAATATTTATCATAAATCATAGAGATGGTTCTAAGGAAAGGATAGGACCTTCACTAGGTGTTGTACAAGGTTCCAGCTACATGGTGCCTATTATAGCTGGACAAATTCGTTTTTCAACATGCTATCTCCTTTGATTGCCGTACTCCTCATTTTATAGTTGCGTCGCTTCTTTGGACAATGTTGAACAGTGTGCTTAGGTTCTCCACAATATAAGCATAATCTTTCTTGACGACAACGAGTCTTTTCTTGCTCAATAAGAAATTTGAAACGTACTACATCAATTTATATATCCTCTACTTCCGAATGTTTGTATTGAAGAGATGTTGGTATTGCTATTGAATTATAATTACGTTGAGGTTCACTTGTACAATTCTCAGATCAAAATTCAAAAGATAATTGTCGCACTTCATAGCAAAGTCAATTGCTTGACTCAATGTTTGAAGATCAGGTAAGTTGAGCATTAATTTTTTTACCTCATATTGTAATCCGTAGAGAAATTGGCTAATAAGTGCAGCATCATCCCACTTGATATTAGTTGCAAGTTGTCGAAATTGTGAAGCATACAATGTTACTGATTGATTGCCTTATCATAAAATACGGAACTTATTGGTTGCAACATGAATTGCATCATGTTTTCCATACATGGATCGAAACTCTACCAAAAAAGCCTCTAGATTATCCAATATTAGATCTCGTCGTTCAAGAAAAGATGAAAACCATGATAATGTTGAATCTGAAAGAAGCATATCCATAAATCTAACTTGCGATCCTGGAGTTGGATAGCTTTGGGATTGAAGTTCAATCACAAGTTGTACTTGATTAATAAATTCTTTAAACTTTGATCTAGTGCCATCAAACTTCTCGGATAGGGTAATTCTTGGTTCTCTAACATTAGAAGGACGTTCTACCATAGGAGAAGGGACATGATTTGGTACAGATGTTGAAGTAGCTCCAATCATTTCTATAACTTCACTTCCTACCAATCTTGTTGCTCCTTATGGTGGTAAATTGAGTTGATGCATCGCAAGCATTAACTTTCTCAATTGTTCTTGCATTTGTGCCATTACACTCTTTATTTCAGCAAGTTCTATCATGATAACACTTAGATAAGAGAAGATGCCTAATATCGCTTAAAACAAATAGAAGAGAGGACTTAAGAAAAAAGAAAATACTAAGGACAATATCAGTTTAGAAGAGGGTAATCCGCAACTTCTAATATGCTTATATCTTATCAAAAAAAAAGGGTAATCCACTCTTAATCATGATTAGACAAAGCTCTGATATTGTAAGTATACTCTTGTCAATCTATCAAGGATAAGAACATGATAAAGACAAATAAATAAGTGAGACTTCTCTCAAAGAAAGATGACAAAATAGAAATAACTTGATATATATATTAAGAAAGAAACTAGAATGGCTATTGCTAAAAGCCAAGAAAACTAGAGACCCTTGAAACTAGACTTGAATCAAGAAAGAAGTTGACAAGAGTGAAGAAGGCTTCACTCTTGTCTCTATATATACTATCTAACAAGGAGCTATGTCGCGACATTCTATAGGACCTCCTATATGTGTTGACTTTGTAGGACACATGCCTTGACTTACAAGGCAAGTTTTCCTACATGTGGGCTACATAGTTAGCTTGGTCTTCAAGCTAACAACATGTGTGGCACATGGCCAACTGTTTGATTATGTTTTTAATCCCAAAAAATCAATTAAAGACACCTATAAAGTCAAAGTAGCATCTATAAAGCTTCTAGAAAGCTTCTATATCAAATACTATAGAATTAACTTATTTTTACTTACTTTTACTTACTTCTATCTATTTATACATGTAATTATTGGCTTACATGTGTATGTCCATGACACTTCTACCAAGAGTAGCATTTATAATTTTTTTTCTTTTATAGAAAACTTAAACGAATCTATAAGTCAAATTTAAGGAAGATTAACTTAATCCTCTAATATCAAATAAAAATTTCTACAAAGATGAATAATCTACTTTTTTAAATACAAAAATCAAACTTAAAAAACTAAAATATTAGTTTAAAAGTCATTAATATCTTACCTTCAAAATACAAGAATAGAAATGAGGCAATTTACTTAATACATAGATAAATGATAGGCAGGTAGTAAAACCTATGAATATTAAAATTATCTTTTATAAAAATAGATTCTATTTACTTTATAGAGCCATAAATAAGGCAAAATAAGATAGATTAAAAAAATAAGAATATAAGCATATATAAGAAAGAGTTAAGAATTGATTTTAGAAAAAATTATCTCAAGAAGACAAGAATTGATACTTAGAGAGGACTAATTGGCAACTACAGTCAAAATCATATCCTAAGGCACAAAATTGAGTACATATAGTGACTTTAAAGTTTTGAAAGAAGTAACACCATGGTTGAGTTGCTACTTATACAAATTAAGGCCTAAGAGCTTTTGAAAAAATTATGCACATATTACAACTGATATTATATTGTCAATTTGTCTATAGCTATCATGAAGGAAAGTCTTGTCAACTTCTTGGAGAAGAGGGTTTCTACCTCTCCACTCTCCATATTTGCAAAAGACCTCAAAGTACCAAGGAATAAAGCTTAGTTTAAGTTCCAAAAATTTGATGGAGTGGAGATTAGAGGAAGTTATGTTGAGCTGCATCTCTTTCATATGTAGACTAATACCATGTCAAACAAGAGAAGGCATTAGTTGATCCTTAGTGTCAACACTTCTAGTGCCAACACCTTAATTATCAAATAACATCAAATATGAAGTAATCTCACAACACCTTCATTACCAAACAACATTAAATAGAAAGTAATCTCAAAATATTCAATGGACAAAGAACATCGTAGCTACACTTTAGAAGAAACACTTCCAAAAAGAATTTTGGAGTAGTTGAAGTTCAAAATTCATCAATGAATAAAAAAACTGAAAAAAAAAAAAAAAAAAAAAAAATGAGATCAAGGAGGCCTACATCCCTATTGACAAAAAAGCTACTATAGATCAAGGCTAGCCTCTCTTCTTTGTGATCATCATCTTTTTATTTTATTTTATTTTATTTTATTTATTTTTTCTTCTTCTTCTTCTTTTTGATTTTTTTCTTCTATTATATATATATATATATATATATATATATATATTTCTATTCCTTGATTTTCTTCTATTTTTTATTTATTTACTTATTTATTTTATTTTAAGAACTATTAATATTTTTTTCTATAAAAGATGTATATAAAAAAGTAATTTTAAAATTGTCCTTAATCTTATAAATTTTTCTTTTATAATCAAATCTTAGTTCAAATTTTATTTACTTTCTTAGTATTTAGGAATTTATATTTTTGCATATTTTATACAAGTAATATATATATTTTCTTTTTTTTCTTTTTTTTTCTTTTTTTTACTTTTATACTTTTTAATAAGTATAGTAGATTTATTTCTAAAAAATAATTAAATTCTTAATTATATAATGACCTAATAGGTTGTTGTAATTATATATGAATAAATGCTAATATTACATCTATAAATTATCAATCAACAACAAAGAAATAAACACTTGTCTATATAATTATTTAATGAGTTCATGAATAATATTAAATAATGAAAATTTAACATATCTTTAAAATAATTATATATATATATATATATATATATATATGTATATATATATATATGTATATATAATTTTCAAATAAAATTTAAATATTTAAAAGATTTTTTCTTATAAATTTTTTTAAGAAATTCTTACAATTATGTTATGCTTGAATGATTGTAATTAATTATCCTACAAAATATTCATGTGTTAATTAATTATAACTATTGCAAGTTATAAGTCACAATAGTTTAGGATCATAATACTAAAATTAATGAAAAAATATTGTGACTTAAATCAATAAAAAAATATTAATGGAAACTTATATTAATGGTTGAAAAATTTCTTCCAATTGTTGATAAAAAGAAGAATCTCATGTAATCATGATTAGATAATCTTATGAGTTGTCCTATGTCTGTCGCTACGGAGAAAAGAAAAGGAAAAAAGCAATTAACAGAAATAGCGACGTTATATATTCCCTAAGTGGAGCGATCCTAAATTCAATGGTAGCCCATTGCAGTTCCACGAGTGTGGGTGGCTCATTTATCTGCCACGTCAGAAACTTCCTCTGCCAACGTGGCAAATCGCCTTCTCCCAGGTCATCACCCTTGTCTTCGTCCATCTCCGACGTCGGGGAAAGAGAGTGCGAAGAAGCCTCGTGGTGCTGGAGAAGAGACATGGATCGCCAAACCCTAAGCAGGCGTTTCTCTGTGCAGCTACCCCGCGCTACACGTCCCTCGTCGTCCCCATGCCCTCCAGGTTGATGCCCATCCCTTCCTCCTTCTCATGTACGTGGTGCGCTACTTTCTTTGGTCCAGGCTCTATGTGATGCCGTTGTATTTGACGTTCTTTTCACCTTTTGTGGATGGATGTTGGTATTTGATTTGAGTCGCACAGGGATACGGGAGAGTTTCCTGTATTTCGAATCATGGTCTGAGCGCCGAATCAATGTACGTGTGAGCTTGGAGTGATTTAGGGCTGTACAGAGGTATGCAGAGTTGCTGGGTAGGATTCGGAGCATATTTGAGTTGGGGATGGTATTGAGTGGAAGCGGTAGGGTTGCGTTTTGAGTTTGGGATTTATAATAGACGTCTTTGTTTGGTGGACTTTGGATCAGATTCTTCGAGCCTTTGAAGCATGATCGTTGGTTGCTGTATATGCTTGAGATCTGGAACAGAGTGTGGATCGAAGTTAGAGAGACGAGGGAGTCGGGTTGTTGTATGAGGTTTGAAACCCGCATTGGAGATGTTGTTTTGGATATGATTTTCGAAGGCTCGCAATATTTTTCTAAATCGTAGTAGAACTCGGAGAAAGCTGGCGATATCCCAACCAAGGTCTTTGAAGCGAGTCTTATCAGACCTGCACCCATTTCCCATTCTGGTAGTCACGCCCACCATGGCTTGGAATGTGTTCAAGTTTTGTACGGGTCTCAAGGCTGTCGGTTCTATTATGGTGCTGGTGGTGCTGGGGGTTGTTGGGGTATCCTACTATGCCGTGGTGATTACCAATTATGGACCAGAGCTTGCCAGAGGTGGCTCTGACGCATTTACGGCTTTTCTTGTACTCTTTCTCTTTCATGCTCTATTGGCGATGCTACTATGGTGCTATTTTTCGGTTGTGTTTACTGATCCTGGTGGTGTGCCACCGTCGTGGCGACCTTCTTCATCCGAGGAGGACCTAGAAGTGCCATCTTTACCTTTGACACAAAATTCTTCACATGATTCAGCTAAGATTCCGACGATGAGTCAAAGTGGTCGGGCTCGCTACTGTCGGAAGTGCTCTCAGTACAAGCCTCCACGTTGCCATCATTGTTCCGTATGTGGCCGGTGCATTTTGAAGATGGATCACCATTGTGTATGGGTGGTGAACTGCGTCGGTGCTTGTAATTATAAGTATTTCCTTCTTTTCCTCTTTTACACCTTGCTGGAGACTTCGGTGGTTACGGTGTCGCTATTGCCAGCATTTATTGCGTTCTTCGGGGACGTGGAAGAGACAGCTATTCCCGGTTCTCTGGTAGCTACCTTCCTCGGGTTTGTGCTGAACATGGCATTTGCTTTAAGTGTTCTTGGTTTCCTCATTATGCATATTTCTCTTGTTGGTGGCAATACAACCACCATCGAGGCTTATGAGAAGAAAACATCTACGAGGTGGCTATTTGATTTGGGGTGGAAGAGAAACTTCGAGCAGGTTTTTGGCACAAGGAAGCTCTATTGGTTCCTTCCATTGTACGATAAGGAAGACTTGAGAAAGATCACTGCATTGAATGGGCTCGACTACCCTATGAGGTCTGATCTAGAAGGCCAGGAGTATTAGACGGGGATTTGTGTTGTGGCAGACAAGTATTTGCGAGGGTCGAAGTTCTTTGCTGTCACAGGGTTTTAAAGAGGAATTTCGGCTCGTTTCACGCCCTCTTGATATTTCTTTTCTGACGAAGTAACCAAATCAGATGATCTTAGAAGCTTAAGTGAAAGTATTGGACGATAGCTATGGCGTTGTTTTGTTACGTCTGGCCATTTTACTTGCCCTGAAGCAATTGTGTTCCTTTCAGATGCTTGGTTTCTTCACACATGCCTGGAGGTCTCTGCTTCCGATTTCTGCTATGTTATTTGTAATGCTAATGTAGGAGGGAGTAAGATGTTTTAGTTGATGACACGGAAGATGGTAGGAGATAAGACGGAGCACTCAACAGCAGTCTTTTTAGTTCACATGTTTGAGCCAAGCATCCGCCTCTAATTAGGCCATATATTTTTGCTGGCAATAGTCGTTGTCAACCGTACTTTGCACATTGACAACATGGTGCCAAGAGAGTGGTTGCCTGGTGGTGTGGTCAAGCTTGAATGCTGACCAAGCCTGACATTAGAGATGAAGACATTAGCCTATACTCTCAGAGATGAAGTAATTTGTGAAGTGCTGGCTGACCTCAGGCGAGGCTGTGATACCTCCACCTGTGGTTTCCACTAGCTCTGGTTAAGAATCTGGAGCAGTTTGGAGCAAGGCAGTCTATGATTTCTCACTACTCCCAATATTGTACACTGAAAGCATTAATTAAAGCCTCTAAGGTTAAGAGGGTCTGTATTTTAGTTGCTTACAGGGCAATATATCTTGTGGAGCTTTCTTCACTTGTCAGCAGCCAGGTTGCGTTGAACTGGGATGTAATCATGGGGTTGGGTCAGAGTCGTACTGTGCTTAGGCTTCAAAAATGTATTTCCTGGAAATAATAATTCAAGTAAATAAAGCAATTTTAGGAGGCGCTTCTCTTTCAAGTCATAGTGTGGAGCATCTTTTCTGATGATTGTTGCAATTTCGATAAGCAAGTAAAGAGCTTCTGCTTCTTGTAGCATCACGATTTGTTGTAGGGGACACGCACACCACTTCAAAATTAGCACAGGAATGAATCGAGTGCGAATATTCGAAGTGGAAGCTACACCCTCTGCTTTCCATCGCTGTTGAATAATCAGTACTGCTTGGATTGATGTTAGGAACCTGCAGTGTTATATCAACGATGTCAATGATGTCCGTATTGAGGGCGATCACAGTTTGAATCTGCGGCCAACTCTCTTTCCATTTTGTGGCGTAAGATTTGAGGTCCACTTCTTATTGGAGACATTTTGAGAAGTCGGCTTCAGGTAATGATTATTCAGGATAGCACTTCGTTTACGGCTGAAACATGAAAGATTTTTAGCTTCAGTCTCTCAATTTAGCTGTTCTGAATCCACGAAGTTTGAATGTGAACGTAGGGCAAGCAATGGAATGCTTTCATTCTAATTATCAGTTTAAGTTAAGAATAGATGTAGAGTTCTGTTTTTTTTAGGATCGAGGAGCACCGAAGTTTTCGGAAACATTTCCTTAGGGATCGCAGATTGGAGAACAGAATTCAACACTGCACTAGCGACACAATGTGAGGTTATGTGAGATGGCTTGTCGCCTTCAACCGTTATTACTACGTGTTAACTCATGAGGGCCACAGATTCTCCTTGACCTAGTGAGCGTCTCCATCCTCATCATCTATAATCTTTTCTCCTTATAATGTTAACGAAAAACCTGAGATTTTCAATACGTTCAAGGTAGCATTCAGAGTCGCGCAGGACTTGCAATCTGCTGTTAAGATGGATAGGCCCTTTCGTTTAACGCTGGTGAAACTACCTACGTGAAGCTTTTTCTCGCTCTACAGTATCAGATTTCGAGCCATGCGCTTGTTACTGGATGAAAACATACATAATGATATTCTCATGACAAGGCCTGCGATGTTGGCGTTAAGTTTTAATGTTAACTTATTAGTTCATGCAGCTGAAGTTACACTGTTCCGTTCCGCTTTGAGGCGGTTTTGCATCGTCGACAACCAGTGCTCACCTGCAGCTACCAGCTTTCACAGCACTGACAGTATAATGTGCCGCTATCGTCTAGTCCAATTAGGCCTTCATCTTCACACTCACGTTTTACAAAACTGGGTACCTGCTCAATTTAGGTCCTAACCTTATCAGTTTATGTCTCAACTTATCAGTGAGTGTCGTTAAGTTCCTCAATTATCTGACAAAAAACAAGAGATGATTGAGTACAAAAGTATTCATATCATTGCCAAGGCTATAAATTTGAACGTAGACACATTCTTTCATGGAAATAACCAAAAAATAAGATTGTTTCATGCTACTACCCTAAACATAAAGAATGCAATTGAAACATGTAAAAGTTATAAACATTATATCCATTGATTTCAAAACTAACTTCGACAAGACGCAACAAAAATTCCAGGTTCTCTAAAAAAAAATCTCATATACATATATATACACATAAACAAAAAAAGTTTAATAAGTTATAGACACACAATTATGTCCTAAGGAAGTTGTAATAGACATGAAGCCACTTCAATTCATATATTCAAATCTCCTCCTTGCGAAGATCCGAACCAAATTATACATGCGTACAAATTTACAAATATTTGCACAAATATACAACATGGTATGTTTTCAAGTTTACCATCCAGTCCTACGTAAGTTCTGATAAAAAAACATTTATTTTTCTAGATCAACCATAAACTCATCAAAAAAAGCCTAACAATCACAGCAAATGATATCATGCATGGCAAAAGTCGTTTCGTGCCCGAATTCACAAGAACAGGTTTCAAGCCAATGAACTGTACCTATTCCACTCCAATCACTCACGACTGCGCACCAATGTCCATACAACTCCCTTATCATGTTTTCAAAGTCAAGCCCCAAAAGCACATTAATCCACAGCCAACAATCCACACAAGTTTGACCACCCAAGCACAACAAGTTTGCAGGTAGCGGCCTTCAGCGTCGCAACAATGGACGCTGATCTCGACCGATGCACATTACGATGAATAACGAAGTGGTCCTCCCTTAAACACAATCAAGCTGCCGACGTCCTCGACAACCCCAACTGCGTCGCTTCCGACGTACCTATAACTAATATCTCCTACAATCCATGTTCCCGCTCCTATGTGCATCACACAATGTCTCTTGAACGAGACTTCCGGTGCTGGCACCACCCGACCCGATCAGATCAACTCCTACAGTGGAGAGCGTGTCCCCATTCTCACAGCCCGATTGCAGAGACTCCAACAAGTCAACAATCCTGCGCATCATACCAAGAAACCACGCGACCCAACATGAGATTTCCCCGCCGATGTGCGATCACAAGCAACTCACAAGCACAGCTCCGCACAAGCCCCACCCGACACCGCAAACCTCGCCGATTGCCATCCAATGCAATGCATTGCCAACTCGCGCACATACCTTGACTGGGATCTGGAATCTAGTACTTCACGGTCAGGACCTCCTTCTTGCCGACCTTCACCACCAGACACCTCTCGCTCCCCCTCGCCTTCGCCTTCTCAAAAGCCGTCAGCGCCAGCACCTTCGTGCACTTGGGCACGACGTTCTTCAGAAACTCGGCCAACCTGATCGGGAAGCTCTTCGTCACAGCCCAGCCCCTGTTGTTCTTCACTGTCACCCACACGTGCACCACCGGAACGGAGCACCCCAGCTTCACGGGCCCGATGGCGGTCCACTGCCCAGACTTTGCCACCACACGCTTCGCCGCGTCCTTGCCCCGAACGACCAGCTTCACCGCTACGTCCCTCGTCGCCACGTTGTGAATGACGCACTTCAGCGAGAAGCTCGAATCCTTCTTCACGAAGGGGGCACGAGCAGGTGCGGGAACCGGAGTCGGCGCAGGAGCCTTCGCTGCGGCAGGAGCGGGAGCAGGTGCTACGTGAGCATCAGCCGCCACGGCTGCAGCTATCACGAGAACAGCAACGAGGAACAAAAGCTTGGCCATGGTGCGTGACGGAATCACGGGTGATGCAGACAAGGAGCAGCTATGCGGAACGGGAGCACAAGCAGATGCCGAGCTTGGAAGTGGTCGCTCAAGTGGACATGGGAAAGGGGACGGCTTATGTAGCGAGACGCTGAGGCCTCCGACTGCGCCAAGTTGCGCGGCGTCGCGCCGGTATCACAGAGGAACAGATATCACGCGCGCTCCAGAGAGCTTGCGCGGCAATGTCGCTGAACTAACAAAATTTCCTCTAAATATCGATTTTATAAAAAGTATTTATTCCATATAATCCTTGAGAAATTCTTTATTCGTTCAAAATACCAACATGAGCATCATTTGTATATAGTTGGTTGATTTGAAACGTGAAGCAAATATTTAAATAACTCATGTAAAGGAATGACTTTTATAACTCTTATTTTTTGTAGTTTTAAGATACATTGAAACCAAATCTAAAAATATGACATGCCAAATCTGACTAAGAACAATGTATTTTCTCTCTCCAAAACAAACTCAAACAAACAAACACTAAATCACAAAAACTACATGAAGACATATTAAATTAAATTTATACTGTAATTCTACACCTATACTCAACTACGTCTGCAGTTCTCATGCTTTGAAAACAAATATGATATAGCAAAGAAATTGAATAAAAATAGAAATAAGAACTGTGCAAGCCTTTCCAAGATCATGAAAACCAAATAAAACCAAATGATTCTCATTGTTCCTAAGCAAAGTCAATTTCTACTTGAGTGTCTTGTTGTCCAAGTACCCTACTCATTTTGTGTTAACAATCATTTTGTGGAAAAAATTGAACAAAGTATAAAGATTGTTAACAAAAACCAGTAAATACATTTTTCAAACTATCCAAATCTAACTCTGCCCCTAACAATTGAACCAATCCACATGAACTTGAGCCAGGTTCGTCGACGTTGCCTTCATTTCCGCTCGCATCTGATAACTTCGATCAAGTCTGGGATGTACAGATACGAAGCTAAAGAGGAATCCCCGATGCGAAATCCATGCAAATAATTCCTCTCCACATCCCAAACAGCCGCAGCGCACCGTATTATGATTAGATGCAGGCTAACAAATCTGGAGATTACAGGGTTCTCTCGGAGGAGAAAGCAATTTTAAAGTCAACTCCTCGATATATTAAAAGCAACTCCATCCACTTAAGTCGGGACGAACACACCAGCCACCCAATGAAATTATCAACAAGTCGCAACCTTCTGTGCTCCGTAAACTCAGTCGTACTCTCCGACATGACCCGCCCTGCATAACTCTGGAAGGTCCGTGTCTCCGAGATAGCACAGTGAACGCCCGGGATTGCACCAACCACGCCTGGCTACCTGAAAAAACAACGAAGGTATTACATCATCTCTACGACAGCTTCGCGGTTAAGCCCACGGCAAAGACGAACGAATTCCGATTGTTTGGACTGTCACATGAGCGCCGCATGTGGTCCCTGTTCCAAGTGCATCCTGCGTGGTATCGCACATAACGTCAAGAAATGGAACTTCCGGTCCTCGCGGCCCAAGAACAGCCATTCCCGTCACTGGACGCCGGTGGTAATTTAAGCTCCAGAAAAAACGTCCTCCACCCTTGACAATCCCGATTTCCCCCAAGTCTGTCCACTCCCCACCACAGCCAGAATAAACACGGGATTGGAACTGCCACAATGCTGCGAAGACATCCCCCAGAATTTACAGCCCTTGACAACATACCGCCCGAAATCCTCAACAACAAACACACGCAATACGTCGAGACAACGAAATGCTCGCGCAACACCCAAAACACCACCTTCGCAGGCACTTCATCTAACAAGCCGCAAGCACGATTATTATACATTTAATAATCATAAGGTGGCATTGGAAAGGTGACTTAAAGAACTACATTTTATAAAAAAGAAATTGATAAATTCTAATTTAGAACAAAAGAGAAAGAGTTCTTGGAAGTCAATGCTTCAAAACTAGAGTTTTTAAATGAGTTTTTTTTATATAGGTTTTGGTTTGGACCATACCTTGAATTTTTCGATAAAATATTGGCTCAAAATTTCTATAAGTGTAGATGACTATGTTAAAAATATTTCTAAAAAGTTTCACAGTATTTGAATATTGGTCTTTTGAGATATGGTGGATATAATGCTCAAGCGCTTAGAAGTTGATATAGTTAGTACTTGAAATTAGGCAATATCCAAAGATTTGTAATGAATTTATGGTTGATTGTTTGTATGAAGGTAGTTAAGAATATAATTTAATTTGTACAAAGTTTGAGTCTAATTGGACAATTAAATTGAGAGTTATGGGATGATACAAATTCAAAAGAAATCTCCATAAGAAGTGGTTTAAGGATATTTGGTCACATCTTGAGAACATTTGTGTATCCTAAATTTGTGTATTTGATGTAATTCTTTTCATGAAAACAAGCTATAAACAAGATTTAGATTTTACAAACTTGCAACTTATTTGAGTGATTAGTAGTAGCATAGAATAAAAGTTTCAATAAGCAAAGTTGTAAAGAAGAATATGACTTGTACCTAGGCAGATTTGAGAGGAATAACTTGTATTAGAAACTAAAAAGGTGAGGTATTAATAAATTGAAACTTAAGACAAAATAAAAGAAGAATCAGCATGGTTAAAACTATAGATACAAAACCAATTGTTGTAAAAAATAAGGGATAGGTCGGAAGCTTGTCATTGGTGAAGCCCATTGTGGTATAAGAAAAAAGTTCAATAAGTGGATGCTGATCTTGAAAGATGATATTTTTAGTAATATATATTTTAATATTATTAATTTATTAGAGCTTATATTATAAATATATATATTTATCTAGATTATAAGAGTTAAATAAACATAAGTAAATATAAATAGATTTGATGATATCTTGTTAAGAAGCTTTATAAACACAAATTTGACTTTATATATATTTATAGGTAATTGGTAGATTAAAAACTTGGCCAAATAATTGGCAATATGTTGCTATCATAGACATATATAATTATATAGATAAGAAATATTGGATAGAAGGTAAATATATGTAAATTTGATAATATCTTATAATAAAGCTTTCTAAAAGCTTCATAAATATTAGTTTGATTTTATATGTATTTATATTTGATTAACAAGTTAAAAACTTAGCCAACAAATTTACCATGTAATACACATGTTGGAAATTTGTGATATAAGTTGGCTATATAGTATACATATAGAAAATTTATCTTACAAGTTAGATATATGTTTTGTAAGTTGGACACATGTTGAAGGTTATATAGAACATTGCTATATAGATCTAATTTAGATAATATATAGAAATAAAAGTGAATATTTTTTATTCTTATAAATAATTTTTTATTTCTTATCTTATTTTCAGTGACTATTATTTTTTTTAGTGACTATTATTTTTTTTAGTTTTTAAAAATAGCTATTTTAATTTAATACTATATCATCTTTGAATGATTATTTATTCTTTTTAAGTAATATAAGAGTACAATGATTCAAAAAACTATTTTAATATTGACATATTTTAGAAAGAATGGTATATTATAGATTAATTATAGTGAATAATGACATGTGATTTGTATGGCAAATAAAATAATCCTTTACAGCTACCAAATGAGTCTAGATTGAAAAGAATCTATTAAGTAATTGCGGTGCTATGACTAATATAATTTGGACTAGTATTCAAACAATTTTTATTAATCTAGTATCTAATTTTTGGATTCTATCAATTAATCAATATTATAGAATTCAATCATCATTAGATTTACTGTGATAATATAATTACTAATCTAATAATATTATTAATGCTTACTAGCAGCTATAAAAGCATTATTCTTAATCACAATTCTTGGTATGGACATATTCTAACTTACCACACTCTACAACCTTCTAGAATTTTTTATAAATTTCTAGAAATTTTTAGATACTTATAGAATCTTCTATAATCTTTTAAAAAGTTCTATAGGCTTCTACAAGCCTCTTTAGAAGCTTTTTAAAAGATTATAGAAAATCCCATAAAAAGTACCATGGACTTCTGTAACATTCATTATAGTATAAATAGGAGTCTTTGGAATCACTTTTGCTATCAATTTCATTCTTTGTCTTTAATCTTGACATATTTCTTTATTAGATTCTTGTGTCCTTAACAATTCCTTGAACAACTATTAGATCCATTTTCTGTTCTTTTTAAGACAACATCACCTCTATTCTTTTTTATTGTCAAAAATCTTATGGCCAAATTGCTTTTGAACTTGACTATTATAAAACTACTATCTCTAGGCTAGGAAAAAAGATCACTTTTAATAGAAAGAATCTTAAATTAAACAAACCAAAGAAGCTCACTATAGAAGATGAAAGGGCAATGATTTGCTAAATCAACATTAGAAAGGCTGAAAATATTGTTGAGGTTACTAAAAACCTTAACATATTATCAATAATCTTGTATCAATCCAAACCATTCAAAATATTTTTAAGAAACGAAATATGAAAGCCATGGTGAAGAAAAAAAAACCACTACTATCTACTTGCTATCAAAAATAACACTTGGATTGTGCTATGAAGTACAAGGAATAGACTATGGAAGATTGGAAGAAGGTTATTTGGTCAGTTGAGACAAAAATCAACAAATTTGGATCAAATGGCAAAAAGTGGTTGTGAAAACAAAAAGGTCAATCCTTGATGACAAGAAGATCTAAAAAAAAAATTAACTATATAGGTAAAAATATAATAGTATGGGATTTTATGGAATGAAATGGAGTTAAGAGCATGGTAGAGGTTGAGAAGAGGGTGGATGCTCAGCAATTTGTGGAAATTCTTGAAAAACATCTGCTATTTAGCATTGAAAAATCTGGCATTTCTAAAAAAGAAGTGATTTTTCAGCAAGATAACGATCCTAAGTATAATTCAAAACTAATATGGAAGTGGTTTGATCATCATGGAATTAAAGTAATGAATTAGCTTTTCTAGTCTCCTAATCTTAATTCTATTGAATATCTTTGGCAGCACCTCAAACGCTAGCTCAAAACTTGGATGATAAAACCAAAGAGAGTTTGGAAATTATAGGAAAAAATAGCTATAGAATAGAATAATGTTGAAGTAGTTTTATACCAAAAGTTAATAGAAAGTATGTCTAAGAGATTGGAAGCAATTATCAAGGCCAAAGGAGGTCCTACA